GAAAATTTCGTGCGTCAATAATTCCTCTGAATCATGCGTGACAGAAATTCCGAATTAAGGATGGAAAGAAAGAAGGTGGAAGAGAATTTCTCTTTCATCGAATCGACCGATTTTAAATAAGAAGGTATTTATATACATTCACGATAAGGAAATTTGCGTTTCTGTAGAAATCAAGGAAATTTCCAAACAGTGTTTGCGGTCATATTTGATAACTGCTGCTATCGATTTAGGCGGGCCAGATCGCGGAAACAAAGGATAGTTATCAGTGAAGAAAGAAAAAGTGTTATCGCTGGGTCTTCTTGTTTCTCATATACTATGCACATGTACGCGAATTATATGCGTACGTACACGCGTTACAATGACCTTTACGAGGCGAATACCGCGAGCGTCGATACGCGGGGACGATGACCCAACAATTTCAACATAAACAGTATCATACATACGCGAGCTGGTATTATAAGCACACGAGCAAGCCAGCTTCCGTCATCGGTCGACTCGTTTCAGAACTAATATACTTCTTCCTCGGATTCTCTCCGTCGGTAGGGGAGACGCAAACGCGTATTTTAATACAATTAAATTATATTATTTATATAGCGCAAAAATTAATTTTTTTAACGTCCACAACAAATCAGTCATAATTGCAAAGTCAGTCTAAAATCTTAATAGAAAACTATCGTAAGCTTTTATCGGTAGATTTTTTTTGAACTTATCAACATTCAAAAGAGATCACAGGATTTATTTCTTATTTATTATAAGTTAATTTAAACATATATGAATTAAAAATCTAGTTGGTATTTATTAATACCTATATTATTAGTAGCCATATTTTTATTATTAGCTTATATTAATAGCTACACCGTCAAAAAAGATAGCAAATTTAATGTAATGTTATTAAATTTAATTTAATTTGTATAACTTAAAAGTACATTAAATTTTATGACATTTTTAGTAGTATAGTTTTACTCTGTATTTCTCAAGCTGAGAAGAATTTGAAAAAATTAGAGATATTGAATCATTCACTCTTACTCATGTTAATATCTTTTTGTAATCTTATATTTTTATCATAATATGCACGACTGCCTTTCGCTCGCCTCTGGGCTTCATTTCCCTTCTTTTTCATAGACTTTCGAAATAGTCTTGCACGATCTATTGGAAGCTTGTCGGTTGACCCTGCTGGTTGCTTTGTTCACAGAAGAAACGAGGGTAAGCCGGAAGTAGAAGAATGACCGACCAAAAGTACTATGCACCGTATCCCCCGGTATCGGGGGTGGGACTGCAGCCACCACAGCCGATCGCAACAGCTCCGCCACAACCAGGTGCATCGATGTTACCGCCAGGTAAAAGAGCAGACGTTATTCTCAAGATTCAAGCTGTGCTTCAGCACGCGCTAAGAAAACCGACACGTCTGCATTTGGACACATCTGCACGTTGGACGTGCGAGGCCCTAAACCGCAAAACACATGACGCTCATGATGATTTTACGACAGCATTCATAGTTCATTCTTTCTCTATTTCAAGACCGTCTTAAGTGATGTTTTAAAAGGCTAACGCGGCTTTGTAATTGGTTTTATGACATAACGCTTTTCAAGTTTTCACGGTATTATTTTCAAAGATACCAGAAGGTTTGCGAATTATCGCCGTGTTTTTATCCATTGTTAATCGCCCTGATGAAGCGAATGGTAAGGTTCGTGAAACGTTAGCATTAGCAATGGATAAAAACACGGTGATATGATAAAATTTCTAGTATCTTTAGTTTTATGATATCTTAAGACTTAAGGAAATTCTCATTTGACATAATATAGAAACTTGATCAAATTTTGAGAATAAATTTGTTATAAAAATAGAGGCATTCCTAAATTAAAAAAAATTTTTTTTACCATCTGGATCGAAAGTTATTTCAATAAAAAAAGTAATATTTTTTAAATTTGTACTCTAATAGAAATATATGAAAATGTATTACAAAATAATGATAAAAATCTCAATTTTTTAATATAAGTACTTTATGAATTCAAAAATATTTACGTAAAGTTACATTGAGATGCAGACATTAATTGTTCAGTAAATAAACAAAATATTTATTTGTTATAAACTAATTGGTGAATCTCAATGAACCTTTGCATAAGTCATGTTTTAGTACTTAATATATTTATATAAAAAAATTTAGATTTTTGTTATTATTTAAAAAATTTTTGTTTATAACAATAAAACTAATAACAAATAAAATAAATAATCTATAAAAATGTGTTGCTCAATAAAAACAAAATGTTATGAACACAACTTTCACATGTATGTAGTTTGTTTAAAGCGTAAATATTAATATATGTGTTTTATGACTGGAGAACCTTCTTGAGACGATTTTATATACATATATGTATATAATAGCGAATGTGCGGTTACTTACATTACTTACACTAAATTAATGCATATTAAAAATTGCTATACATGAAATTAGCAAAGTTAAATCAAAAGCATGTAAATATTTTGAACAACTAATCATCCAATAATGATATTGTTATGTTATTTAATAAAATATACATGTTATTTCGTTGTCAAAGTTGATTATGCAATTGCATGTAGTTATTTTATGTAAAGTAAATTTTTTTTTAATATGACTATGGTACTATGAACGAATTCACCATAAGAACAGATTATGAATACAGATATGTGAGTCTTTCTAGTTAATAACGCCCATGAATTTATAAGGAACAATATAATTGAAATTTTAGACGCAAGCTCCGTCTTTATTTTCATTGCACAGAGAGGGAGAAAAAAGAGAATAATTCGAAACATCTTAAAATATTGTAAATTAATGCATTTCGTATTACTTTTTAATCTCGTTGCTGCTTTTGTAACAATAGAAATTCACTTGTATGCGCGTTTTAGTTCTAATTAGGTTCCCGATTAGATTAGATTTTTCGTTGTAACTACGGTCGAAGTGTAAACGAGGCAACTAAAAATCTACTTAACTTGCTAATATTTAAAGTCAGCCACGACGGCGGTAGTTAATTCGGCCTGATTACCGTTTCTCTGCTCTTTTCTCGTCGCCTTGAATCTAAATGAAGAGGAAGAAAATTTAGTTGACCTGGTAATTCTCCGGGGCAGTTACTTTCACAAACTTCACTTACATTAACGGGATTAGCATTTTCACCGCCCTTTTTATCACTAATCAAATAACAAGCTAACTACGTTAGATTACGTGAAGGAGAATTAACATTAAGAATTAGCTATCTATCGCGATTGACTAATTTAAAAGTCTGCGTCATCATCTAGGTAATTTCTGTTTTTCTAAGAAATAGACAAGATAACGTTATATCTAATTATTGTAAGTTTCAAATTATATATATATATATATACAGGATGGCCCATGTAAAGTGTAGCAAGCTATGGTATTATCTCTGAAAGCGTGAGTCAAATGATTAATATATGTTCAGACAAAAGTTTTATTTTTTGAGGAGAGACTTTGAGGAGAGCATAGTCATTTGACACATACTTTCAGAGATAACAGCTTGTAACATTTTACATGAGCCATCCTATATATATTTATTTTGAAATATATATTTTCAAATATTTTTTCTTGCTTTTTCGAACATATCGAACTTTTTTCATTATGAAATGCGAGATTGTAATATTTTTATCGTCTAGTCGAGTCACATAACTGTTTAATTTATTCAGTATTTTCTGTACGAATAGAATGGCATTTTAAACAGGTGTTATTTGTATAACAATAGGTACATTTACAATTGGTATTCACATCAATACATATGCAGATTAATATAAAAATTACGCTAATGTCTTATGTTGCGTTTAGAAATTATAATTTAATTCTATTTATATCCTTCTTTCTTTCTCTCTAATTTAATAATTGTGTATTTAATCTTTCCGGAAAATACGTAAATCTAAATATTTTAGAATATTTGAAATTATGTATAAGTTGTACATATCAGTATACACTTAAGTAAATTCCAGCTCATGCATGTGTGTTTAAAAGATATCTTTTAGGAATGTCTAAAATATTTAAAAAATATTTAAAAGACGCTTTTCAGACGTGTCCAAAAGATGTCTTTTAAACAAGTGTGTTATTGGAATTTACATTTGTGTTTACTTACATTTCAGGGAAAAAGAGAGAGAGAAAGAACGTTTTAAATGTAATTAAATTATAATTTATTATTTTTAATTGATAATCGTACAATATCGACCTAAACGTGCTATTAGCACGGAACGCGTCTGTTTCATGTGCCGCTTAATTACGATAGACGCGTCCGAGGACGTTCGTGATCCTCCACATTGACAATCATAATCCAAGTATTGCTCCTATCGAGCGTAATTGCGGCTCGCCACGAGAAATTCAAACTCTGTGTACGCTGTCGTGTTCCGATCATGCAGAAGGACGATCCACGGATGGTATCTCCCAATAATAGTTGTTCACCGTTTGCCGGGAGTGACGATTAGTATAAAGTAGATAATGACCGTCCTCGGTGGCCGCCGCGTATCATCGTCATCCAAACAGTTGTATTCGACGATATCACTCGTATTTGTACGATGTCTTATCGCAGATACATCGTCGTGTTGTCGCTTTCTGAGATACGAGATAAAAAGATTATTTCGTTATGTATTTGAATTTTGGAATATTCCGATAAGCACCGGCGCGACGTGACAACACTGAATGATCATTCGAATAAGCCTACCAGTATATTGTTTGTCTTCTACCTAGTTAGACGTGATAAAAAGAAAAGAAAAAAGCAGTGAGAAAATGAAAGAAGAAAGGAGGAAAAGAGGAGATTGAAATTTTGGATCGAGAAATTGAATACATAAACAAGAAGATCTGAAAAACTGAAGATCTCGAAGAGGAATGTAAAAGCTAAGTTGAATCTCTCTCTCTATATATATATATATATAAACGATCAATAGATGCTAGAATTCTTCTGATAAATAATAAAATTCTTGAATCGAATAATCTTCGACTTTCTTGTACGTGGTGAATAATTTTCCTAGAGAATTATAATAATTAGGAAAATATTGTCAGTAAATTGTGAATTTTTCACAATATTAATTTTTGTCGGCGTGAGACACAAACATGTGGCACTAAATGTCTGCGATGTAGCTTTGATATATCGCATTGTTTTCCGTATTTATCTCCTAAATGATAAATGAAAAAAAAAAAAAGAAAACCTAAACCAGAGAAAACGAGGATACTCGCGGAAAAAGTTTTATCTTCTGCGTCTCGAGGAGGGTAGACAACGCAAAATAATTGCGATATCTCGCAAACGTTGCTGGTAAACGTCTCGGATCGGCACTACAGTTATTTTCGTCAGATTAACAATCTTAATTGAAGATAATGGATAATAGTGATAAGAATTTCAAAAAACGGTGAGAGTTTGAAGATAAGTTTAGAAATTCTTTGGAAAAATCTACTGAAGTTTTTGAGCAGAAGTTTAAAAAGTGACAAGAACTTCGAACAAAAGTTTTCGAAACTACTAATTGGAACAGTGAATTTTAAATAAACTGTATTTTTTTCCAGTTTAGATAATTATCGGTTTTTAATCTTTTATAATTACACAAACATTTATGAATATCTCTATGATTACAGTGATAACTGTGATGCAACAGTATAATATGTTAGTACAGCGATAAGAGTACTTCAATTTCAAGGCATTTGACAAAAATATTAGAAAAGTATAATCTCTACGATAAATAATATAGAAAAGTACAATCTCTACGATAAATAATATTGAAACATGCGGTGTTCTACGTGTGCAACGGAATCAGAATACTTGGAAACTTCGTGGAAAATCAAGCTGGAGCAGATTCGCAGACGGCTAAGAACACTGTTCCAAAACACGTTGACGCGTTATTACAAGTCAAAGAAGAAGGGCTACACCAGATTTTTGACGGAGGAAGAACAGAGGTTTCTTAGAGAATTCTTTCCACGAACGTGTATTTCATGATTTTGTTATACAGCTATTACGGAGCATTTTGTACATATGTTATTTTACTTAATAAGAATTAACTTCATTAATTTAAAAATGGTAAATATCTATATAAGCGATTAAAAAAGAAATCTCTCGTTGTGGATTTATAAAATCATGAAATAACGCTTTTAAGGGCTGGTTGTTCCACCTTTTAATAAATTTTACCTGTTAGGTAAATCTGGCAATACGCGCATGTAATTGGGTAATCTTGCTACTTACCCAACACGTAAAATTTACCAAAAGGTGGAACAACCGGGTCTTAAGCTTTCACGGATATTATCTTCAAATATATCAGAAGGTTTGCAGGTTATCGCTAATTATTGGCATTAGCAATGAATAAAAACACGATGACCCACGATGAATCTCACGTAGATAAAAATATAATATAAATAGTACAAAAGTAATATATTGGTATCCAATATAAAGATACCAATTGGTATCTTTGAATATAATGAAATATATTACTTTTGTACTATTTATATTATATTATGTTTTTATCTACATGAAACGCACTTCTCTAAAATTTAATAAAAAGAATTATCGTAAATCGTTAATGTAAATACAGTTAACCCATTAAGAACCGGCTGATCGATTTTTCAACCAAAAAAATAGGTCAACTTTGGGATGCGAAATCTCTACCAAAAGGCTCCTTAAGGGCATAGTAGCTTACCATTAAAAGGATTTTAAATTTTGAGAAAAAAAATTTGTCTTGGTCCTTAATGGGTTAATGTACTTATAAATATTGTATATCATATTGATTTTTCTTCCTTAACCGATGATTCATTGCCAGGATTATATTGAATGTTATATACAAGAGACTTCCATTTATATATACACACACACATATATATATATATATGGAGATTTTAAAGAATTTATATTATACTATTTTTATATAAGCAATAAATAACACGTTGAATTAACTGAACGCTTATTGAATATTGCACTTGAATGCTTTCAGGTGGTTGGTTACCGCCGAATATGACATATCCACCCGGCTTGGAATACCTTATGGGCCTTGATTATCTTTTCGTGAACCAGAAAATTGAGTTGCTTCAAGGTGAGTTCTCGGCTTTGCCAAGAAAGATATAAATATAACGCTGCTCTTTTTGAGACTGCGCGTGAATATATAGGTATATTCCAGATCTGCGAAGCTCGAGAGTGCGATTTACGATTATTCCTCGAGTAAATGAAGCTATATTTGCTTTACGCGATAATCTCCTCGTATATTTGTATTATGATAAACTCTGAATTTTGTATAACTCATAATAACGTAATGATATACTCATAAAATTCATAATTATTTTATATTATACAAATTTCATTTTATATATTATACGTATTTTATTTTATGTTATACGAAAAATTTACCAATTACTTTATGATTTAATAATTACGCCATAAATTTCTAATTATTATCTTATCGCTTAATGAATACGATACATTTTATTTTACATATTTGCTATATTATTTCAACTATATTACGTTACATGTTACTTTATTACATTAAGGGCCGATTGTTCCATCTTTTGGTAAAATTTACCTGTTAGATAAATCTGGCAATCCGCGCACGTGATTGGATAATCTTGTTACTTACCTAACAGGTAAACTTTACCAAGAAGTTGGAACAATCGGTCCTAAGCATATTATATATATATATATATACATATTTTACTTTAACAATACGTTATCTTTTTTAGCTTTTACCGGATGGGAAACTAAGAACAAGTATGTTATTATGGATAACAGGGGCGAGCCAGTATTTTATATGGCCGAAGAATCGGGAATCTGTTGGCGATTGTGCGTGGGAAGTTATCGCTCGTGCGAATTTTCCATCTACGACAAAAATCGGCATGAGGTTCTTCGTATGATTCGACCATTCAGATGCGACGGTTGCTGCTGTCCTTGTTATTTACAGGTAGTTTTAGCATTAGAATTTCTTTAGTGTTTGATATAGTTATCTCTATATGAACTCTTAGCAATTAGAAAAGAAAAATATTTACTTTCTATTATTATATTTTTCGAAGAATTTAACGTTAAATTTGCTCTTTAAATAAAAATCAATAAGTTCTCTATTGTTTGTGACATTTAACTTTCGAACATTTTAAAATATATATAATGTATTTAGTAAATTTTAGAATTCAGATTAAAAATGAAAATTATTTTATCTTCGCAATTTAATATTTGCATTTGTTACCAAAGTTTTAAATTCTAAAAAATAATTTTATTTTAAATAATAATATTTTAAAATTAAACTAAATTATTATTATTCATAAAGTGAATTTTTTGTTAAGTATCTATATTTTAAATTATAGATAATCTCTTCTTAAGTTTATTTTAATTACAATTTTATATTGAATTATAAGCACAATGATATTACAAATAATGAATTTAAGATCGAAATTTAGAAGCGAGATGAGAACTACTGTTTTGTATCGTGTCTACCAAAGTTTCTTCACACGTGCAAGCCATCTGTCAAGTTTTCAACGAAAATTTACCCGCATCGTTGAAAGATTCGATCAATACCCTTTGAACAGAAACGATTAATATTAATTTCCTCTATATAGTTCATCTTTAGTTATAATTTATTTAGTTGTTTATTTATGATGTAAAAGGATATAAGACGTAATAAAAATTAAACAAATATTATAATTGTATTCGAATTTGTTTAATAACTTCGACTAATTTTATTTAAATTTCCAATTAAATGAGAATAAATTAGAATAAATCCTTATTTATATATGAAAAATTCAAATAAATTCGAGATTATTGATAAATTTTATTTTTTAATTTTATTACAACTAGTTTTTGAATAGCAGATGACTAAAGTTTTTTTTTGCAGGTTTTAGAAGTATATTCCGGAAATACTCTACTAGGTAGCGTTACTCAAGAATGGAGTCTTTGGCGACCAAAGTTTTATGTTCGCGATGCATCGGGCCAACCAGTGTTAATGATAAAGGGTCCACTTATTCGTTTTTGTATTGATGTAGCTTTTAAGGTATTGCAATATTCCAAATTTTACTTAATTTATGCCACTTATAATATTTTATTATTTTTATTATAATATAGATTATATTATAGTATAACGTTTTTAAATATTTTTTTTCGAATTAAGATACAAAAATTTTAAGAATGAATGACAATGTATAATGATATTAGAAACTTGATAATTATTTGACTAATAAACTGCATTTTATTACGTGACAAGCGTTAAGATTTTCAGAATCATTCATTAATAATCAAATCCGCAGGTAAAATCTATAGATGAAAAGCATCGTGTCGGCATGATCCGAAAGCAATGGAGTGGCTTTGCTCGAGAGATGTTTACCGTTTCCGATATGTTCGGTATTAACTTTCCACGCGATCTGGACGTGAAGATAAAAGCTGTGCTGCTAGGAGCGTGTATTTTGATAGTAGGTATTGTGAAAATACTACAAACAATCACTTTTTTAACAAAAGAGATGCAAAGAAGAAAGGTATAAAAAGAAACATTGCAACGAAAAAGAAATATTGTCGTTCTGTTTCTTATATTAATATCAATACAGTTAATTAGTTTTAATTGGTTTTGAATATTTTGATGAAGAAATTAAATTGCAAAAAGAAATTTCTAAGGCAAGTCAAATTACTATTAGTATGAACGCAGTTTAATTTTTAGTATACGTTGACTTTAATATTATCTATTAATGTTTTAGGACTTCATGTATTTCGAGCAGGAGAAATAGGTCAATTTATTTCAATTTTTAAAAGAAAAGCGACTTGTTCGTATGAACATATATCTTCATCAATGTATTTTGTTACATAATAAATACCTCACAAGATGTGTTCTTATCACATTTATAACTTATAAGTACTTTCAAAGATATTTTGTAACGCATAAATATCTCAAAAAATGTTTTAAATAGATATATATGTATATGTGTATCATGTAAATTGTATATTATTACACATGATTAGATCAATTCCTTTTTTGATCAGTTTACGAATAATCACTATTATATATATAATCAAACTATACTAAAGTATATAAATATATATATATATACCTTACATTCGCGGAGATGTAATCGAACTTTTGTTCACTGCAAAGTTCGATCTCAAAAAGCTCTCTATTTTATTATGAGCGTGCAGTTGCCTGTCTATTTAAATCATTACTCATTTGACATTTCCGAGATACATCTATTTTCATTTTCCCTAAGACTCTACACCATCTTTTGAATATTGTGACGTGTGATATAACAATAAGAGCTGATTATTCCAACTTCGGATAAACTATATGATAATTTACCTACTGACTAAACAAAAGAGTAAAAAAAGTAACAGCATAAGAGTATAAGAGAGTAATAAGACAGTAAGCTGAAGTTTACCGAGAAAGGTGGAATAATCCAGTCTAAGAGCCAGTTGTTCCACCTTTTGGTAAATTTTACCTGCCTAAATGATATTAAATTTTTCCTTCATTTGCACACACATATACATGTATGAAAAAACAAGTTCTTACTTGATTCAGCATTGAGATTGGCCTCTACTTTGCTGAGATACATACACTGTTAGAAATGTTCTTGAATTTCATTAACATTTAAAATGTACGCTATTAAAGATTTCATGAAATTTAATGTATTTTCATGAAATTTTATGAAATTTAATGTACCTTTCATACAATTTTATGAAATTTAATGTACACGTTCATTACATTTAAGTATTACATAGTTTTCTGTTAAATCATTCATTACTTTTAATTTCGTTTAACCACGAGCTTCCTTTACGTGTAAAAGAAGCATTTCTAACCGAGTATAAAATGTATGTAACTTGTGTAAATGATTCTAAAAATTTATGAATTATAAAATTTATCTATGTCAATATTTTATATGTGATATAAAAATTATCGTATATATCAACAATGTAAAAACATTTAAATTGTATCTATATTATAATATACAATTTTTGCATTATAATTTTTTAACTTTATTTACGAATATTGCTACGTATTTTATTACTCGTGTAATAGGAGCGCTTTGCATATTTATATAGATTAAACAATGTTCATTTAAATTTGTTTATTATAGGCTTTTGTTTGTATGTATTTTCTAATTTACTAAAATATATTTCTTGGCGTAAAGTATACATTAACCAGATCAAATAACACAAATACCTAAATGCTTTATATGTACAATAAGTTAAACATGACCATTTATACGTGAATAAGACAAATAGAAGCGCACCAAAAATTGAAGTTGCATCCTGAGGCCTAAAAATATTTTTGTGAAATTATTAAATAATTTTCCAATTCACATAATTCACATAAAAGTATTATTAGACATCAAAAAAGATGCAACCTCACCATACGCGGCATTCC